TATATATATATCTTTCTCTCTCTCACTCTCTGACTCGCTCTCTCTCAATCTGTCAATCTATCCATCTATTTATCCATCTATCTCTCTTTCCCGTTCTCTCTCTCTCTCTCTCTCTCTCTTTGTCTCTCTCTCTATCTCACTCTCTCTCTCTCTCTGATTCTCACTCCTGTACCCTCTCTCTCACCTCTCTCTCTCTCTCTCTCTCTCTCTCTCTCTCTCTCTCTTTCTCTCTCTCTTTCTCTCTCGATGTCTCCTAAATTAGCCTCAATAGGAAATAAGAAGGAACAAACTCACTCCCTCACTCTCACATACATAATATATGCAAGTATACACAGCCACAGACTCAAGGACTTTCTATGGCCTTGTTTCCTATGTTATTCCCTGCGGTTTAGTGAAATTGTCGTGTTAATCTGTTTGTTATGATTTATGTGGAGAAGTGCACGTACATTACAACTGATATCGACAGCAGCAGATTGCCTCTTCTAATAAATAATAGATAAATAACATTTTGTATAGCGCATATCCCCACTTGGCAGCAAGCTCCTTGCACTTTATTCAGTCTAACCTAAGAAAGAATGTATGGAAGCTAGTTGATGAGAATATATAGAATTCTTTGTATCTCTTTCAATTCTATGATCTGGGATGTAACAGTAAGATTACATTAAATAAAGCACTAGAAATATGCAAAGTAGCTGCGTTGTTGTTGTTATGCTTTGATAAAATCTCGCTCAGGTCGTGATTTGTAATATTTTACGGGGTCTGTTTTTGTATTGAGATGTTCTTTTTTTAGCTGGGGAGAACGGAACTAGTTAAACAATTCGCCGTTAGATATATTATGAACACCTGACGACATACAAGTTGTCTTTGTACTTGTCTGCATTGTTTTATGTCCTCCCAAATGTATCTTTAAACTGATGTAGCTTATCCGTCCCCGCAGAAGCAATCCAGAACTGTAAAAAAAACAAAAAAAACCCAAAACGACACAGTAGAATAACGTTAAACTCAGTGTCTTTGAACTCGTTTTAAAACCTCCAAAACTCGAATGTTGATATATGTCTTACCAGTCGAGTAGAGTAGCTGTTCATTAGTAACCCTAAATGAGGGGAAAATGTCATTTCAAGTTTCTGATACTAAAATAAGTCACAGTTAAGGGGTCACTCTGGTGACGAAAAGAAAATTAAAACTTTAACAGAACATATGACTTGCATGTGTCTTGGTTCTTCCATCAGATATTGTGCTCAGCTTAGATTTAAGTTCCTTTCCGCAAGCAACTTCCTCCATACCCGCCCTTTTCTATTTTGATGCTCTAAGCTGTACCATCTGCCTAGTCTTTGTCAAACCCCTGCTGTTAGCTTTCTGCCTTGCAAAAGTGTCCGTGTCTCCAAAAGTGTTGCTGTTGTCGTCGTTGCCATTGTCTTTGTCGTTGTTGTCATTTTTGTAACCACCAAAGATGCCATTGTGCTGTCTACGCTGCAAGGGCCTCCGATATTCTAGTTCGTTTAGAAGTGAACGTGTTATTATGACTCCTTCTTTAATGCGTGGGCTTGCGTCCTGCCAATCTTTGCAATTCTCTATCATCATTTTAATGTCTTCTTATCAAGTATGATACACATAGTCATGTTTTTTTATATTGTTTTGTATCATGTTGTGATTCCTATGGCTTAGAGTAGTGCCTAAGCTCTATGGTTTGTTAAATTCTTGAGGACAATTGATGTTTCAAAGTTCATATTAACTTCTTTTTCCTATTATTTTGTCTTCAGCTGTTTGATTTTACTATATCTTTTTTAGAAACGTATTTATTATCCATATTCATTGACTCTGAAAAAAATCCAATATTTGCTATCGGAAATGTTTGTCTGGATTCATTATGTCTTTGTACATCTCATTTTATGAAACTGTTAAATTCCTGAAGTTTGACGTGTAAAAGAAGTATAATTTCTTCACTTCTCAGTTCCTTGAATGAACTTCGAGTGTAAGATGTACCATTAATTTCGTTTTTCTTTGTGATTTCCCTGTGTTTGTGAATGTGTGAAATAATTCTCATCTTGCACTCTGTTTTTGCCTCCTCGGTGGTATAGAGCCAAAGAACCCTCTTCTTCCTCCTCCTCTACCCTGAGTCATACAGCGAGGTAATGAGGTGTATTTACAGTGGCGTAACTTAACACGCCTGCACTTGAGTCTAGACCTACTAACAATATAGTTGGACGTTCATGTTTTATAACCCATAACTAACAGCTCGTCGAATGCACCCTAGTAAAGTTGAAAGTGCTGTCCCCCCCTTTTGAGTTTACACCTTTCTCATTTCCCACAAAGCTTAGTTCTTTAAGTTGTTTTCGTTACATCTTAATTTGCATAAACTCACATTGACTTTTACATGCAATGTTATGTTCCTGGGGATTACGTGGCCCAGAACTATTGAAATCTATGTTTTCTGAAATTCTGCCATGTTTTACTTTTGTTAAGTTAATTTTTTTAATAATTAGTAGAACACTCATTTTGACTCATCTATACTTTTTTACTTTAGCCACTACATCATTGCCTCGTAAAACGTGTTTGTGTGTGTGCTTCCTTTCCGTTGGTAATACGTGTAAGGCTTTTTTTTTTTCAACGTGACTATAACTGCCTTAACTGCAAACGGACAGGTGCAAATCTGTTGCTATTGTTTGTCAGTCCTAACGTCATCACCACTTTGTGTATACGTCATCACCACTGTGTGTCTACGTCATCACCACTTTGTGTGTTCGCCATCACCACTGTGTGTCTACGTCATCACCACTTTGTGTGTTCGCCATCACCACTTTGTGTGTACGTCATCACCACTTTATGTATACGTCATCACCACTGTGTGTCTTCGCCATCGTCACTCTGGCTTCACTTAATTTTCAGTGACTTCCCGTTTTTTAATTCTTACTCTGGTTCTATTTTGTCGACTGGTTTTGTATTTCTTATGCCATTTAGCCAGTTCTGCTCTTTGATCATTTTCTGCGCGCGAAAACAAATTCACCATCTCTTCACTTTGCTGCTGATAAATCTGTTATGTCTAAGTGATTGATTCGCTGCTTACTGATCAAATACAGCTGATTTTTCAAATTGTCTTATAATATGGCTGTTGTTTGATGAAGAATACAAGTATAACGTCTGTCTTTAAAAATGGATTATAGTAGGGACCACAAGATTTACTCAGTAATGCGACCTTTGATCGTAAAATTTGGCAATCGTATTCCTAGACTGCTAAGTACAGCTAATGTTTTATATATGGACGCGTCAAATAAAGTAGCAATGTTGTACCGATATTCCACTTTTGTCAACTTTCGAGAATGAATTTTACTGAGGGTTTTTGGTGTTGTTGTAGGTTGGGGTTTTTTTTGGTTGTTTTTTTTTGGTTTTGTTTTAGGGTTCTTTTCAAAATGACCAAAAAATCTGGTCAAATTGCCTTTTTGGAAATTAAAATTTAAGGGATCAAGTGAAAAATAGGTTGTCCATTTTTACACATGAAAAATTAATAATAAACCCTTTCAACAGTATCTGTTTGATATTCCTATACACTCAATCAAGTGAAAATCAAACCAACTGGTTATCAAAGTGTATTTCTATAACATCAAAAAGATTTAAGAAAAAGTCAAGTCCGTAATAGAAAAGTTTTTAAAAATGGTAAGTCATGGAGGGATTAATGTGTCTTAGCCTGGTTTTTACTTGAACCCTTCAAGTGTATAGATATGACGCCTATGCAATACCGCGTTCGGCAACTCCCATCGAAAAGTAAAGACAGCCGGTTTCCTGTCTCCTGTTTTTGCAATCCCATTTTCCACCTTTAAAAAATCAGTAAGTGAAGGTAACATTGTTGGACTAAACATACCTCTTAATCGGAAACTGTGGGTAGGCTTTTCATTGATACTCGACTTTGGAAAATACCAGTAATTTTCTGAAAAGAGGATACGCTTAGATCTCCAGCATGAGCTTAACAATTTTTTGCACAAGGGTTTATTTGTGTCTGTGTGGGTGTATGTGTGTGTGTGTGTGTTTGTGTGTGTGCGTATGTATGTATGTTTGTGTGAGTGTGTGTGTGAGTGTGTGTGTATTTGTGTGTGTGAGTGTGTGTGTGTGGTAATGTCTGTGTTATGTTTTTCATAAAGCATGATTTTGAAAGATGTTGTACAAAGGGATACATTTTTATTTGAGAATATTCTATCAGAGATACACACATCCTTTTCGAGGCATCCAAAGAAACGCTTTATGTCGGCGGTCATTACCAGACTGAAAGTCCTTAGTGTATTTGTTTGAGGTCCCATCTTTAGCTCGTGGTCACGGGTCCGATAGATAAATACTATGGTGTCATTCGAGCCACCATGCTGGTACTCTGATAATGGATGAAGTACTGTAAAACTAAATTACTTGTAAAATAAAATGTAAATTGTTTCTGTAAAATATCAGTAGAGCATCAATTCCTGTACAATAAAGTTCAATGGGACATGGGGAATACCGTTATGAAATGGATAGTATATTTAATTGTACAAAAATGGTAACTCCCCCCTTACCCACACACCCCCATCCTCTTTTCTTCTCTGAAAGTCCTCTAGAATCAGACTGAAGTTATTTCCAACATATTACTGTGATTGAGAATCTTAGAATTTACGTGCATCTAAACTGATTTACTTCTGCTTCTGAAAAAAACATAATTATTTTAATATAATCTCTGTTTCAGTAAGAAAAACTGTTGAACATTGTCTGAAAGAATAAACCACACACATACTCTTTGGTCAGGGGGAAGGGGGGGCGAAGGTAAAGGGCTCGGATCGGCGTAGACAATGAATTAGAGTATTACAATTTGTAGTAGTTTTGTGGTTTCTGTATCGGTCTAATGAAATTCTAGGGGAAGCAACTGGTGTATGTGTTGAGGTACCCTCGTAACAAGAATATTATGTTATCTTATAGTACATGTATGAATATTCCCTACCGTGTATAGACTGTAGTGTCATTGTATTATACAATTTAAGTTAATAAAAGTGTTTCTTTCGAGTGTACCTTTTTGCGAAATTATTTGAAGCAAGCACACGGTATGCTCAAGTCTTATTTCTGTTGTTTCAAAGTTGACAGAGGATAAGATACCAGGCAGCTAAGACGCACACACAATGTTTTCAGTGAGCTGTGTAGAAAATTTCGTAAAATGATAGAATAGGAACGATGAATAGTCTTTGCTACAATAAAACACTATGTACCGTCTATAAGGTCAACATATCATGAATGTAACCAGAGTTTGTTATCGATTACTGTTGCCTGAAAGATGAGACGACAAGCAAGACAAAAAACCCAAATAATTATATCATTCAATCAATGTGGTTGTTCTTTATTTCCCACCCCCCACGGCACCCGAACTAATGGTTACTAATATTGCAGTGTAACTTTCCCAATTACCACAAAGTATTCATTTTCAGTACTTGTCGGGTTTTTTAAATGACGTTTTAAAAACTATTTGTTTTCATTATTTTTTGTAAGTTTTTTTAAAACCACGCTCGCAACTGCATAAGGTTAAATAAGAGTACAGGACACATTAAGCGTAATTCAGTTTGGTAGAAATCAGATTTGAATTTTGCCCGGGTGGAGTTCTCAGCCTACTCTTATCGATTTTAGTACCACCAGGGGATCTTTAACGTGCGCAACTTACACACGGGACCTTCGAGATTTTTTCGTCCTTATCCGAGAAGACTAGGTGGTAGATCGTACCTACCCTTAGATTAGGTGTGAGGCTGAAAGACAGAAGCAAAACAGAGTCGAGGAGTAACAGTAGAAAGGCAGCAGAAAGAGCCAGGGGCCCCAGGGGAGGGGACAAAAAGAGAGGAGGGGGAGGAGGTAGAAAGTGGAGACGAAAGCAAACAACAGAACACGATTATACAGCTGGAAAGGTAAAAAGCATTATTTTTTTTTAAGAAAAACATTTCCTGTCGATGTCAGGTTCGACCGTGGCCTATTGAATATAAGGCGAACACCGAACCTGTAGACCACGAGATCCCCCCATATGACGTTTGCTTTTAACCTGAACATAAGCTATGAAGAAGTAACAACTTTCCTGTTTCCAGTAAAACATTGAGCTAGAGCTATAGTTGTGATTATAAAAGCAGGTATGATATTTGTTTTCGTAGAAATATTTTACATAAACAAAACTAAATAGCGTGCTTGTTATTTATCAAACTAGCCACAGGTGCGAATATTATATTGTTAAATTCTAAGGCAAACCCTACGAATCCATAGAAAAAGAAATTTAAGATCTGAAGAGAGTATTTGACCATGGAGTTAAAATCAGTGTGCGTTTGGTATATATATATATACCTCTTTTTGCAAGGCAAAGTCGAATTCTTTTTTTTTTATTAAATTGCTTGTTATAGGTAATGCTGATGTTTATATTTATATCCTGACTTCTGTCTCTTTGTTGAGTAACGAACTCACATTTTGACCCTTTCGCTTTACCAGTAATAGGCAAACCTTTTATATAAATCGAAATACAAACGTTAGCAGAGGCCATCTCTTCCTCTGTTTCCACATGTCCCTGTTTGTCAAACGCATTGTGGTGTTTACTGTGTGACCGTATTGTGGGCATAGTCTGTCTCCCAGTAGCTACCCACTGACCATAATATGTAGTTGAACAGTTTTACAGTCCGCTTTTTAATATGATGATGTGAGTAACTTGCAGTGCAATGACTTCGTTAGTAGGAAAGAATGAATGTATAATGTAGTTTTAGTTTTATAAAAGACGCTTATGATACCTTATCTAAACCTACACAATATGCATGATCGTTTTGCGTTTGCAATCCAACATTTTTAATGTTAATTAGGCCCCGCTCACACTAGGAAAATGTCCGCTCTTCACACGGTTACCGGTAGGCAAATGAGGCAATTTTGCCAGTCTGTTTCTCTTCACCGCCTAGTGACATCATACCACGTGACCGCGCGGTGGGTGAACATGTCCCTAGTGTATGCACGCGGGGCTTACAGGCGGTGATACGGTGTTTGGAATATCCAGTTATTCTCTCTCTCTCTCTCTCTCTCTCTCTCTCTCTCTCTCTCTCTCTCTCTCTCTCTCTCTCTCTCTCTATGTACACATGCACACAAAAACAAACACACAAAACACACACGT